AAAAAAGAGCAAAAGGTGAACAAATTCTTTTCACCTAGACATTTCTAGCTCAACATTACTATACCATGAGAGGTGATATGGTCCAGCGTTTAATCACACCGGACTGCATCCTTAAGTAGATGGAGAGGCTCATCAGACTGATGGCCGCCAGGTGTTGGTAATCAGCGGCCATCAGCAAGGCAGGCTGCAGGCAGTGGGACCCTTACAATATATATGTATGTATATATGAAACAAAGAGATATTTAACTTCCACCTTCTAAGCCTAGATTAATCAAAAAAGGGATCTGAAACATTTTTGTGAACGGTTTTGGGCCACAGCAAGAAAATCTGACTCAGACACTGATTGGTTGAGTTTTCGACAGATGAGGAATAAATGCACAACTGTTGTCAAAGCAGCAAAACGCAACTATTTCTTATCTCAGACCTCCAAAAATCTAAATGACCCTTACAGCTTCTGGAAAACCATCAAATCTCTTTCAGGCAGCCTCCAATCATCTGACCTCCCATCACAACTTCTCGTTAACTCTGTTCCTGTGTCAAATCAGCACGAGATCCTGAACTGTTTCAACAAACATTTTGTTGCTTCTAGTTCTTTATTTGACACAGTTACTAATGGAAAATCAGCCACTTCACTTAATAATCAAACTTGTACAAATCAAATCTTTCTTACAAGTCCATCCTCAGTTAATCACACCTTCTCTTTTTCTCCGTTCTCAGTCAGTGAGGTTAATAAACTGTTAAAAGATCTTGATCCTAAAAAATCTGCAGGTCCAGATGAACTTCCACCTTATTTCTTAAGGCTGGCTGCTCATATCATCACAGTCCCTGTGACCCACATCTTCAATCTCTCCATAAAACAAAACTCCATCCAGACACTTGGAAAACAGCCTTTGTTCTTCTTTGCTGAAGGGAGATGACCCCACCTCACTGAACAACTATCGACCAATCTCTAAACTCTGCATTTTAGCCAAGGTTCTAGAAAAACTGATAAACTCTCAAATCAAAAATGACCTGGACTCCTTTAACAGCTTACCTCCTCATCAATCTGGTTTCAGGAAATAACAGCACGACGACTGCTTCACTGAAGGTTCTTAATGACGTCGTTGAAGCACTGGATGCTAAGAATTATTATGCCGCACCTTTCTTAGGCCTGTCTAAAGCTTTTGACACTGTGGATCATAACATCTTGTGTCATAAGCTCTCAGAAATCAATTTCTCAGATCACACCATTGGTTGGTTCTCTATCTCTCAGATTGGAGGCAATGTGTTCAACATAATGGTACTTCCTCCAGTTATTTAACAGTCAACAATGGTGTACCACAAGGCTCAGTCTTAGGACCCACCCTCTTTACAATCTACATACATAATGTAGGTAAAAACATCCCTGATGCATCCATACATTTCTATGCTGATGACACTGTTGTTTATTGTCGAGCTAAAACTGTTGATAAGGCTTTCCAGCTTTTGAAATCTGCATTCAACAACATCCAGACAGATTTTTTCCACCTCAAACTTGTCCTAAATGCCGACAAAACCAAAGGGATGCTTTTTTCAAATAGGAAGTTGGTCCCAGCAGTTCTTCCTCTGATCTCATCCTCAACTGATGTCCCCATTGAGTTTGTTGATTCCTATAAATATTTGGGTATCTTGGTCGACTCGCATCTCTCTTTTAAGCTCCATGTGGAAAACTTGGTAAAGAAACATATCCTGTCTAACCCTGAATGCTAGGAAACGCCTTGTATCTGTGACTTTCCTTCTCTCCATTGATTATGGTGACAATATTTACATGAACGCTCGTACAAGAACCCTGCAGATGTTGGATGCTGCAGATGTTGGATGCTGTCTATCATGGTACACTAAGATTCATAACTGGCTGTGATTATCGTACCCACCACTGCACCCTGTATTCACTGGTTAACTGGATATCATTAACTTCACGCAGACTCCCACTGGTACATTTTCATCTTTAAATCATTTCTTGGTCTGCTGCCTTCATACATCTCCTCTTTCATGTCTCTGCGTGAGTGCAGCTACAGCGTGCACTCTCAGGACATTATTACCTGCAGTGTTCCCTCAGTGTGAACTGAACTAGGCAAAAGGACTTCTCCTACTCCGCTCCTGTTTCCTGAAATATCTTGTAAAAAGATCTGAAGCTCTCGACCTTTGACCTCTCTAAGTGACTGACTTTAAGAATCTGTTGGACTCCTGGCAGGGACCAATACAGACATGTTCCTGTTTTTAGTTTTCTACATTCACCTTAGAATCTAGCTGTTTTTTGTTACTTTTCTTTTTACTGTTTTTTTTAGCCATCCTATTTGTTAAAAAAAAAAAAATTGTATGACTTTTTATAACTGTTTATTGTTGTCGCTGTTGTCCATTGTTGTCATCATTCTTTGTTGAAATCAGGTCTCTCTTGTAAATGAGTCCCCGCGGCTCAATGGGATTAACCTGTCTAAATAAAGGTTGAATGCATGTATGATATGCAGGTGGCACACAAATGCATTCTGCTAATTGGGGGCTGCCATTGCAATGCGTAGGAGAGCCCTCCCATGCAAACGCATGAAGCCACCTATTATAAGACACCCAATAAGGGTTTCTTTCTTTCTTTATTATTCCGTCTCCGTTAATGCTAACAAAAAGGCCAGTTTTCCAATAGGAAATGAATGGGAGAAAACTTTTCAAAGAAACTGAGTAATGTGGGGAGCCATTTTGATTCAACATTGACTATAACTCAGTCATTCTTGGAGATATTGAACTACAAAACAGAAACTCATTGTTGGATTTGTCTCAAACTCGCAGAAAGTAATCATCAGACATATCTCTAGAGCTGATTAATGTTTGGAGCCATTTTGAGTCAAGATGGCTGCCATAGCTACCTCAGCAAACAAAAAATTGACTATAACTCGTTCATTCTTTGACATATTGAACTGAAATTAAGTATGATTGTAGCTGAGAGCGAGTTGTAATACATTCCTTATGAAAACCAATTATCCAAGAGCGCTGCCTTAGCTAAAAGAGGTAAAATATGATAACTCGGCCATTTTAAGAGATATTGAGCTGAAATTTGACATATTGGTAGCGGAGAATGATCCCTAATAGATTCTGATTGAAAGATAAAAATCCAAGATGGCCGACAAAGCAAAAAAGGAAAAATACTATAAATTGGTCAATTTTAGTTATATAGAGCTGAAACTTGGTGTGGTGATAGCTGAGAATGTTTCCTATCAAATGCTGTATCAAAATCAAAAATCCAAGATGGCCGACAACTCTACTTTCAAATGGATTTAGCCATTATTACACATTGAGAGCTGAAATTTGGTGAGGTTGTAGCTGAGAACGTTCTCTACCACATACCTAATCCAAATCAAAAATCCAAAATGGCCGCCTTGGCTAAACGAGAAAAAAATACCATAACTCTGACATTTTTAGAGCTATTCAGCTGAAATTTGGCATAATGGTAGCTGATAGCAAATCCAAACACCTTTTCCTATCAAATAAAACATTTAAAAGGGCAGCAGCCTGGCAGCCCCCATCAAAGTTTCTCTAGGAACTTTCTAATTTACAGTACTGTATCTTATTTTTCTTTTTTTTCCTCTTCTTCCTCCCAGGTGTGGGATGGGACCAGGTGTCCCCACCCTCTGCTTGAAATAATCGTTGAGCCAGGTGTCACTGAAGGTCCAACCTCCTTCTCTAAGGCCAAAGAGAGTCTCATCGCTAATGTTCTTGTTTTTGACAACCACATGAATTTTGCCAAACAGCTGAAGGTCAGAATTTAACGTGTCCCTAGGAGTGTCTCCACTTTGTTTCAAGTTTGTTTACTAACACAAAAAATAACTCAAACTAAAGCTTTAGCATATGGGGTGATAACTTTGGACAGGAAATAATACCTTTACTAACATCCTGAAATGTTTATCCTTAATTTGTGCCATAATTAAAGTGTTTTTAAGACAGGCACCAGTTTCAGTTTTAACAGCTGATTCTGAATTGTTTGAAGCCTGTGAAACCAGATTTTAGTTGATTCATAACCCAGCTAATTGTTGCTTGTTTTCTTATTTAAATTTTTATTATTTTTTTAATTCAGACAAGTTACAGAACGTTGTTGTTCTATTTCATATAGGCTTAGCCCTTTAAGTCTGTCGCATGTGGGTTTTATCCCATCACGCAAAGCGTTGCACTGAAAAATTTCGTCCACGCCCACCTGTCATGTGGGCCCCACCCGGTCCGTATAAATTACGTTGAGAGCGGGTAATCGGCTCCCATTTTTCTGCAGCAAGCAACTAGCACTGATCTTCCAACAATGCGATGTCCAGCACCAACACCATCCGCCTGTGCCCGTCCTGCAAGACCGGCTACATGCTGAGCTTCGACCGGCACGACACCTGCGAAGGATGCGTAGGTCTCCGCCATGCCGACCTTGCCTCCTCCTGCCGCCTCTGTGACCTTCTCCCCCCTGAGGAGAGGCAGAGGCGAGCAGCCTTGTTTAAGGCTAACATTGAGGAGTGTCTTTCCATGGCGGGGGACTGTTTGCTGGACGACGCCATTGATTTTTTTTTTACGCCGGTCTCGGAGCGAATCGGATAGTTCTTCCGGGACAGGCGACGTCAGCAGCAGCCCCGCTGCTCATTCCCTCCCAGAGAGCGTAGTGTTGGAACGGGAGAGGCCGAGCGGATGCTCACCCCTCCCGGGCCTTTCCGCTTCAGTGACCACACTGCTCCCAGCCGTTGGTGCCCTCCTCTCGGAGCTGCCCGACATAATCCAGGAGGCGGCTGACACGAAGGGACTTTACATCCTTCTCCTCCCCCCACCCAGATCGGATGATCTAGCGGGAAGATTTGGCTCCACCCCGGCCCGCCGCCCTGACCCCATCTGGCCTCGTTTCCCAGCAGTGAGGTCCTACTGGAACGAGGCTGCAGCTGGACCTAGTAAATTGAGAGCGCCCGTCTCCACCTTTGCACCTATCACCAGAGTGGAGGGGTTTACTGAGCAGAATTTCTCCTCGGTACCCCCCCGGAGCCAAGCCTAGCGGGAACTCTCGGAGCAAAAGTGTCCAGGTTGGACCAGCGTCCAGTTCCGTCTGGGAATTACTATCAGACGGTGACGTCACTCTCCAACCGAGCTCACCAGTGTGTGTTCCAGGAGGCCGCAGCGAACAACAGTGTTGCGCTGCTGGCCTACAGCATCTCAAAGACACTGGAGGAATCAAACCTACCTGAAGAGACAAAGAGCTCACTCTGCAAGGCATCTGACGTCATCCTCAAACTGTGCGCCTCCTCTGCTGTCTGCCTGTCTCGCATCGCCGCCTGGATAAGAATGATCCAGCGGTCCACCTGGCCCCGACTCTCCCCCTCCCTGCCTGAGAAGCTGCAGAAAGACCTGCTGGAGGGCCCCATCATGACGGACGAGCTGTTCAGAACCAATTTCAAGGCCATGCTGGAAAAATAGTAGAAATCGGAGGAGGTGTCAGAGACTGTGCGCCACCTGATGAAGCCGCACTCCTCTCCCCCGTCCGCTGGAGGGATCGCCGTGGCCAGTGACAGCAGTAGAGACGCTCCACAGTTGCAGCAGCGTCCTCTCACCCCACTCCTCCGCCGGCCCCTCCCGCCAGAGAACAGCCCTTCTCATCCCGGCAACTAGCGGTTCAGCGTCTCCCCAGATATCGCCAACAGGTGCCGCCCTGGAACAACCAGCCGTAGGGCTTACGGGGGAGAAGATTTAAGAAATGACTCCTTGCGGAGGATGTGTATGCATGTAATGATGACACGAGTTTTAAAATAAAAGAAAACATCATTCAAAGAATAAAGTGTCTGATTTCAGCCTGACTGTCAGTTCGAATGATCTCACAGCGGCTTCTCTGCACACATCCTCCACACAAAACGAGCCGGTGTCCTCAAAACAAGTTTTTAAAAAGTCACCGCAGCTCGAGAAAACACACACAATGCCCGCTGGACACAGCAACAAAAATGAATGTTTTCGGCAGACCGAGTCCAGGAGAAAATCTCGCTCTCAGCCCAGGGTGTGTTCTACCCCTTCTGACCGCAGCGGAGTCAAACGCGTGTCCCTGTGGCGGCAGCAGCCCTCGCCCAAGTGATGTCGCATGGCTGAGGGCGTGCACGCCTCCCCTCAGCGCATGTCAGCTCACATCAGTTCTGATGTGAACCCGCAGCCCGGCAGCAGCACAGAGGCTTTGACTTGGCTAACGTCCGTAAAAGACATGACACAACACAGAGTGGCAGCAAGCGTGCTCCCTGAACAGCTGGATGAACCGTCTTATAAGCAAGGGTTACACGCTGCTGTTTGCAGCTCAACCCCCACCGTTCAGAGGTATTTTAGAGACGGTTCTGTCATCTTCAGAACAGATCTCATCCCTTCATGCAGAAGTTCAGGAACTACTGGTAAAAAATGTAATTTCCAGGGTTCCCAACGGAGAGGAAAACACAGGGTTTTACTCGCATTACTTCCTGGTTCCGAAACGGACCGGTGGGATGAGACCCATCTTAGATTTATCCATTTTCAACAAGTCAATTTTGGAACGACAGTTTCACATGTTGACAGCCAGACAGCTGTTGGACAATATTCACCAGAACGACTGGTTTACCTTCATCAATCTCAAAGACGCTTATTTTCACATTCCAATCATTCCAAAGCACAGAAAGTTCCTGCACTTCTCCTTCTAAGGGACTCGGTACCAATACAACAGGCTTCCGTTCGGTTACTCCCTCGCACCACGCACGTTTTCAAAATGTGCGGAGATGGTTCTGCAGCCGCTACACAAAGCAGGGATGAGAATTCTGTTTTACCTGGATGATCTGCTGTTGTTGACCCGATCCAGCCAGGAAGCAGCGGCGCAAACCAAAGCGCTGACGGCTCACCTGTTAAATCTGGGCTTCGCCATAAACTGGGAGAAGAGCTTGATTCTCCCAGCCCAGATGATCGTTTATCTGGGAGTGGAGCTAAACTCGGTCACTATGAGGGCCCGTTTATCACAAACGAGAGCCGAAACTCTAAAAAACCAGCTTCGCCACGTGGGGAGTGGTGGCGCAGAGGTTAGAAGATGGGCTTGTGATCGGAATGTCGCAGGTTCACCTCCCGTTACTGTCAACATCAAAATGTGGGTGGAAAAGGTGAAACACCCACACCTCCCTCCACCCTCCTTCGCCCCACTCTGGGTCCCTGAGCAAGGCCCTTAACCCCCACCATCTGCTCCATAAACAGGTCTCTCTTGAAAATGAGTTCTCATGGCTCAATGAGACTTCCTGTATAAATAAAGGGTAAAAAAAATAAATAAAAAAAAACCCCGGCAGAGTAGTAACAGCCATTTCCATCATGAAACTGCTGGGAACAATGTCGTCAGCTCACACAGTGGTCCCGCTGGGCCTACTTCACGTGAGACGTCTCCAGAGATGGTTCGCTCGTCTGTGCATAGACCCTGTAAGGCAGAAGAGGCGGAGGATTTCTGTGCACCCCTCTGTGGGAACTGACCTGAAACATTGGGTAAATCCTCTCACGCTGTCGGAGGGGGTTTCCGTCATTAGACCTACGTCACATGTCTCAAGTTTTCACAGACTGACTCTGTCAGGTTGGGGAGGAACGTGCCTGTCACAAGCGGTGGGGGCTCTGTGGCCAGTTCACACATCAGCTCAGATAAATGTTTTGGAATGTAGCACGGTTTTGAATGTGATTCAACATTTTGCTCCCTTGCTGCAGAATCAACATGTTCTAATCCACACAGATAACAAGGTGACTGCAGCTTACATAAACCGGCAGGGGTCGTGCACTCAGCCCAAATGTTACACATTGCGAGACAGCTGCCGTGTTGGGCACACGAAAACTTGCTCTCCATCAGAGCAGTGTGCATCCCCGGCGTTCTGAACAGGGGAGCGGAAATAATGTCCAGGGGCGGTCCGCGCCACAGGGACTGGAGTCTCCATCCCGAGCTGATTTCTCAGATCTGGAAGAAATTTGGCAGGGCAGAAGTGGACGTATTTGCCACGCGGGAGAACGCCCACTGCCAACTATTGCTCTCACTGAGCCCATGGGACGATCCTCTGTTAGGAATGGACGCGTTTGCCTACAGCCTGTGGCCTAAAATGCTCCTTTACGCTTTTCCCTCAGTCCCTTCTGAGCCGAGTTCAGGAGGACGAACTGTCTGCCATTCTGATAGCCCCCGAGCATGTGAGCGCCCCATGGTTTCCAATCCTGCAACGTCTGTTATCGGGTCATCCGTGGAAACTGCCGTGGAGGGACGATGCTCTCCTCCAGGCAGGAGGAGCGATCAGGAGCCACCCAGATATAGGCCAGCACCTTTGGGTCTGGCCGTTGAGCGGAGCCACTTAAGCCCCTTATCCACGGGGCTTTTTGGTACTCCTATGTAACTAGTTGTGGCCGATTGCGTGTTTTTTCAACAATGCCTTTAATGGTGGAACCCACCCCATTTTTGGGACCTAATTCTCTGAGGTCCCAGGTCTGGTTCTTGTAGGGTCTAGTTGTGACATCAGCGCACTGTAGGTCACTGATTGGTCAGGGGGCGTATTCACTGGTGGAGGGCAGAGATTCAGTCTTCCACCGGAAATCAAAATCCATCATTTTCTTTTTCACCCACATAACAGACAACAAGAAATCGGAGGAGCTTATTTTGGAATATTTTATAAGGTAAAACAAATAATCATGGCACAACCGTGGTCGAATGCTGAAGTTCAGGCATTTCTCTGTTTGCTGGCCGACGAAGAAGTTCAGAGCGAGCTAGATGGAACGAAACGAAATGAAA